GCTGGCAACATTAATGGTTGCCCCTTTATCGGAGCGGGAACTGCCATTAAGATAATAGAGAGGGACGTTTCTTAATCCTCCTCTTGACTTTCTTGGCAGGGTCCTCACTCTCTTAAGAGACCCCCCAGCATCCTCGTCCTCCATCGGGGAAGCGGGATCACTTGACCCCTCTCTCCTCCCCGACAAAGCCCCAAACCTATTCCCCAGGGCCACCTCCCCCGCCTCTAAAGAGGGACACCGACCCTGCTGAGGACAAAACTGGCTTACTCACCTACCCACAGGGACCACCCCCCTCCTCCACCCGAGCCCTACCGGAGCAGAACCTTGGGACTCACGGGACTCCCTACCGGGCCTCCTACTCCCGCCGCAGCGGCAAGAGCAAGGGGGGAGCAGACACTGAGGGAACTAGACCTAGCCTCAACCATCCCCGGCCCCTTTAGCAGACTCCCTCAGCTGTTTCTCTTAGTCTGGGAGGAGGAACCGGCACACAAGGGGGAACAACAGGGACTCCAAAGGGGTAGACGAAACAGGGGGGACAGAGACAGGAGGGGCCTCAGAAACCTCCCCTTCTCTCACAAGGGCCGCCACAGCAACCGAAGCCGCTCTCTCCAATGCCGCCTCCGCCTCTTCAGCATCTACCCGATCCAACTCTGCTTCAAGCTCCCCCACCGGAAGGTTGTGGAGGGCCTCCGGCACTGGTTGTATAATGCCCAAGCTCCCCGCAGAGATTGCATCGGACAACATTGCAGTCCCTGGCCAGGTGTCCTATTTCCTGACACAGGGAAACATCTAATGACGGGGCAGGGTGGCCGCCAAAATGCCCCTTGCCCCCACACCGGTGGCAGACCCTCGGCTGACCCGCATAAAAAATTATCAGGCGGTCCTTCCCTAGAAAAGCGGAAGAGGGAATGTGCTGGAGCACATTTCCAACCACCTTTAAGCGGACGGTGGTCGTCCACCACACCTGTCCATATTCCCCTCTCATCCTTGATTCTTCCCAAGGGGCCCCATCACATCCCCATATCTGCTTAGCCAGACCACAATATCTGATGCAGGGATGGATTCATTTCTCACCAGCACCGTTATTTTTTTAATCAGGACTGGCGAGAGACGAGCCTCGGGGTTAGGCCCCACCCACCTAGGGCTGGTGACAAAGGTGGCCTCATACCTCTGCCAAAAGAGGTCCAACAATTCTGGCCGCATGAAGGACACGTCATATTCTCCAGTACCAACTGGAGCAATAAACGCAAAAATATCTGCGGCATGGAAGCCCATTTCTAATATGCGGTCTATGACCTCTCTCCTGCTAAGGGGGGGCCATCCCCTGACCATTTCAGCTGAACAACATTTCGCCTTGCGGCGGAAGTGGGTAGGTTACCTGCCCTTGCCCGGGCCGATCCCACTGACCCCTGACCTCCCCTAACTGCAGCAGAGTAACTGAGCCCCGATCCAGCCCCAGGGGCACTCAAAACATCAGGGGGCATGACCAGGGGAAGCCGCCACACCAGCAGCAGCAACTGAAGGGGCAGATGCTGATGAGCCATGACCTGGGGGAGCCCGGGGCTGGGGACCCACCATACCAGCAGGAGAACCCACCTGAGCCGGACCCGCAGGAGCCTGGACCTGAGAACCTGGAGCCCCCTGAGGAGAAACCGGGGACCTGCTGGTTGCACACCAGAGGCCACCATGCCCCCCAAAGGGGCAGGGCCCAGTGGGACCACCACTGGAGGGGAAACACCCTTAGCCAGGACTGTAGGGCTAACCTGCAGCTCAGACAATTTTTGCAGGCATTATACCCGCTAACCCCCAGTGTCCAGAACCATCTCACCAACACAATCAGCAGAGTCCTTCTCCCCTTCCAGTGGCTCCCCTGCCTTTGCCAACACGTCCTTGGGGATGCGTTGCAGCATGACAAAGGCAGCATGCTCTTTCACCACCGGCTTAGCCGGCTTGTGGGGGATGACATCACTTTCAGCTTCTTCCTCTGAGTCCTCGGACGTAAACCTGAAGTCGGCTCCACGCAGCTCTGCAACCGCCTCTGCCAGGAACTGCAATCCGCCCACTATCTCCTCCTCCTCCACCTGGGTCCCCCAATCCACAGGCAGCTGCCCAGGGGGGAGGGACTCTGATGATCCTGCCACCACGCTGTCTTCCATGATATAGACGCCATTTCCTCTGAGGGTGCTGTGGGCTCAACCTGCCCTGCTCGCCTTCCACCAGCAACTCCCCCGACAATTCCTCCACCGAAGAGGCCTCCTCCACGGACCCCGCATCGCCGCAACACTGCGGCTTCTTGCAGCCTTAAATCTCGCTTCATTCAGATACTTCTCGCTTAGGACGCCGCTCTGGCGCTGCAGCGCCGCCAACATACCTCCCCTGCTGTGACACACGAAGTTCCAGCGCCTCCAGGTCCGGTTTCATGGCCTGCCGCTTAGTAGACCATACAACGGTCGTAGGATGACCGGAGCTTCTTTAGCTCCAGAGTCAGCTTCTGGAGCTTGGCTTCCTCCTTCTCTATTAACCTGGCGCCGAGCGGCCACACACGGTCCGGTAGGCAGAATAAACTTCCCCCTTCCTAGGGGCCATTCCCAGGTCCTCTACTGGTGGAAAAGAGAGGCCGGTACTAGGCCCCTCCAGGGCCTTCTCCCCGCTGGACCCAGGCCCAGGATCCGCCATCCTGCCTGGGCTGGGCAGGGCACTTTAGCCCCAGGCTTCTCGGGCCTTTCTGGAGCTCAGCAGACAAGTGCAACACACCCTCTCTCAGGAATGAATTCACCAATAATGGTGGGACTCAGCTGCCTTGTGATCTGCAGTACCAGGGCTGGCCGCGGATGCTCCTAGCAATCAGAGACTCAACCTTGCAGCCAGTCAAACACCTGGCACTGATTATACTGGTGTATTTAAGGGATGGCCAGACCTGCAGACTCTGCCTTGGTGTGTGTTTCTCCTGGGCCTGTATCCTGTTCCTGCTCCCTGTTCCTGTCTGATTCGTTGCTGACCCTGCTCTGATCCCTGGCTTTGTCTGACCATTCTCCTGCTCCTGATCCCTGGCTTGTCTGACCATTCTCCTCTGCCTGACCCTCTGTACCACGCTGCCCACTACCTGCTGAACCTGGTTTGTGACCCCGACCATTCTCCGCTTGCTCCCCCTGTACCTACCTGCCCGATTGATATTGACCCGGCCCTGCTGATGACGCTTGCATTGTATGTACTGTCATCTGTGGGTGGTTGGTTTGGTTTGTTTGCACTGTGTTATGTTTTAGTATTGCACTGCATTTATGTTTGTATTGTTAGTGTTAATAAATTATATTGTTTATAACATATCTGAAGTCTGCGTTTCCCTGCGTCAGTCACACACCTCTGGTCATACCCGGGAGCCCTGACATTACACCAAGGCCATCCTGACCAGAAGTGGCTGCACAGGGAAGCCATCTTGGTTTGTTGATGGGAAGGATGGATCTTGATGAGGTTGTGTATTTTATATCTGCTAGTGTTTGATGACAGAGAGTATGCTTATCAAACTCTGAAGGAGTATCCCAGGGATGAACTGCTAGAATGTATACGGCTCGCTCATGTTCTAGTAGATCAGGGCACAGAATTCTCTGAGGTGCAGCCATTGATTCAGGTTTGTGCGGAGTTGGTTTCATCTGGTACCCCGAATGCAGGGATGAATTTTTGCCGCCATTTAGTGCCGACCAGGTAGAGTCCCCCCTGGTATGGTTATTAGAGGATGATGTGGATTGCTTCTTGGAGCATTATGCTGCATGTTCCAGCTGTTCACCACAGATACTAAAGAGATTGTATAAACGCAGTGCAGTCTTTGGTCAGACAGGCTTTGTGTAAGCTCAGCTTTGTTCAACCATACTGCAGACATGGACAGATTTGTTGCACCCAGCCTCAGTCAGCCTACAAAAACCCAGTCCTGCTTCTAATCTATTTCCTCAAAGCTCTATTCCTGCATTCCCAACAGCTCCTCCTGCCCTGCTATCTACCGCATGTCAGTACCCTGTTCCCCACTCGCTGCACCTATCCTGCCTTTAACCCTGTAAAAAAAGCCCTCTGTAACACTGCTCCCTCCTCTGTTCCATCCTCCAGCTCTTCTCTGTCTCCAGCTGCTCCATTCGTTTGCAGACCTGCGTTTACTTGCAGTGCTCCAGTAGTTAAAACCAGAAAAAAGCGAAAATTCTTTCCAACCAATACCATCCTGCCAGTATCCAAAACCGGTGAGCCTGCCGTCTGAGAACCTGCCTTCCGTGGTTCAGCCTGGTGCCACTGCACCCGCACTTCAGCCTGAGGTCTGTACCCAGCCTGATGCCTGTACCCAGCCTGATATGGCTGTACCCAGCCTGATGCTCTACTCAGCCTGATGCCTCCACTCAGCCTGATGCCTCTACCCAGCATGATGAACTGATCCAGCCTGATGATCCTATTAGGCCAGTTGACTCGATGCCCGCTGTTGATCCAGATGATCTGGTACCTGATCCGGTGCCCGCTGTCGTGCCAATTGACTCAGAGCCGCTGTCGTACCTGGTGACTCGGTGCGCACTGCCTTGCCAGATGACGCGGTACCCGCTGGCGAGCCAAATGACCTGATGCCTGGTGACCCAGTGCCGCTGTCATACCTGGTGACCCGATGCCCGCTGTCGAGCCAGAGACGATCCAATGCCTGGTGACCGGTGCCCGCTGTCGTGCCAATTGACTCAGAGCCCACTGTGTCGTGCCGGGTGACTTGGTGCCCACTGTCTTGCCAGATGACGTGGGTGCCCGCTGTTGAGCCAAATGACCTGATGCCTGGTGACCCGATACCCGCTGTCCAGCCAGACGATCCAATGTCTGACCCAGTGCCCGCGGTCATACCAGTTGACTCGGAGCCCACTGCCTTGCCAGATGATGCGGTGCCCACTGTCAAGCCAAATGACCTGATGCCTGGTGACCCGATGCCCGCTGTCCAGCCAGACGATCCAATGTCTGACCAGTGCCAGCGGGTCATGCCAGTTGACTCGGAGCCCACTGTCGTGCCTGGTGACTCGGTGCCCGCCGCTCTGCCTGGGGGCCTGAGACCTGTCGCTCCGCCTGGGGGCCTGAGACCTGTCACTACCGCCGCCTGGGGGCCCGAGACCTGTCGTTCCGCCTGGGGGCCCGAGACCTGTCCCTCCGCCTGGGGGGGTCCGGCGCCCGCTGCTCCACCTGGGGGCCCGAGACCTGTCGCTCCGCCTGGGGGTCCGGCGCCCGCCGCTCCGCCTGGGGGCCCGAGACCTGTCGCTCCGCCTGGGGGCCCGATGCCTGTCGCCCCTCCTGGGGGCCCGATGCCTGTCGCCCCTCCTGGGGGCCCGATGCCTGTCGCCCCTCCTGGGGGCCCGGCACCCGCCGCTCCGCCTGGGGGCCCGATGCCTGTCGCCCCGCCTGGGGGCCCGGTGCCTGTCACCCCGCCCGGGGGCCCGGTGCCTGCTGCTCCGCCTGGTGGCCCGGTGCCTGCTGCTCCGGGTGGCCCGGTGCCTGCTGCTTCGCCTGGTAATCCGATGTGCCTCTGCCCGGAGTCCAGCCCGATGTGCCTCTGCCCGGAGTCCAGCCCGATGTGCCTCTGCCCGGAGTCCAGCCCGATGTGCCTCTGCCGGAGTCCAGCCCGATGTGCCTCTGCCCGGAGTCCAGCTCGATGTGCCTCTGCCCGGTGTGCCTCTGCCCGATGTGCCTCTGCCCGGTGTGCCCCTGCCCGGTGTGTGCCGCTGCCCGGAGTCCTGCCCGGTGTGCCGCTGCCCGGTGAGTCCTGCCCGGTGTGCCAGTCTTTGATATCCCGCCAGTTACCAGACCCAGGCGGTGGAACATTTTGCCCAGCTAGGACTGTTTGGAGCGTCCTGAGGCCGCTCCTTGAGGGGGGGGGGTACTGTCAGGAATGGACTGGCCAGCAATGGTGGGACTCACCTGCCTTATGAGCTGCAGTACCAGGGCTGGCCAGCGGGTGCTCCCAGCAATCAGAGACTCAACCTTGCAGCCAGTCAAACACCTGGAACTGATTATACTGGTGTATTTAAGGGATGGCCAGACCTGCAGACTCTGCCTTGGTGTGTGTTTCTCCTGGGCCCTGTATCCTGTTCCTGCTCCCTGTTCCTGTTCCTGTCTGATTCGTTGCTGACCCTGCTCTGATCCCTGGCTTTGTCTGACCATTCTCCTGCTCCTGATCCCTGGCTTGTCTGACCATTCTCCTCTGCCTGACCCTCTGTACCACACTGCCCGCTACCTGCTGAACCTGGCTTGTGACCCCGACCATTCTCCGCTTGCTCCCCCTGTACCTACCTGCCCGATTGATATTGACCCGCCTGCCTGACAACGCTTGCATTGTATGTACTGTCATCTGTGGGTGGTTGGTTTGGTTTGTTTGCACTGTGTTATGTTTTAGTATTGCACTGCGTTTATGTTTGTATTGTTAGTGTTAATAAATTATATTGTTTATAACATATCTGAAGTCTGCGTTTCCCTGCGTCAGTCACACACCTCTGGTGATACCCGGGAGCCCTGACAAGCACACTTGAAATGAACTCTGGACCTTTTATCTGCTCATTGTAATTGGGATAATGAGGGAATAACACACACCTGGCCATGGAACAGCTGAGAAACCAATTGTCCCATAGGCACATATGCAAACTGTTGTAATTCCTACAGTGTTCACCTGATTTGGATGTAAATACCCTCAAATTAAAGCTGACAGTCTGCAATTTAAGCACATCTTGTTCGTTTCATTTTAAATCCATTGTGGTGGTGTATAGAGCTAAAAATGTTAGAATTGTGTCGATGTCCCAATATTTATGGACCTGACTGTATGTAACAATAAATGGCTTCATATGATCACTATCCTTAAAGGATAAGTTCACCTTTTGACCAGAAATAATACATTCAAATTTTATTTCTGGTGAAAAAGTGTGCATTTATAATTTTTGGATTCAGGAGCCTGTAAAGCACTGTACCAGCAATCAATAGATCACTGGTGCCATGCAGGTCTCCTGCAGATCTGTCAGTATATGTGCTTGCCCGTACAGGATGTACAGGCAAACAGAAACACTGGTGGGAAAGAATGAATGAACTACCACGGCACCCCAACACAGAGGCAGACCTCTGTGAATGAATGACACTGCAGTGTGATCAGAGCCCAGCATTGGCCGCGTTGTTTTTAAAAAGTGACAGCTTGTGTGGGAATTTCTCCCCATACTTCTGTCACATTGAGGGAGGTCAGTGGGCAGTGGCTGCAGCATTGGGAACATGTTACATGTTCCTCCCTAAAAACAGGTTGAACATGTAACGTGTTCCCAAAGGTGAACTTATCCTTTAAATAAAAGACATTTTTTTGGCATGATCAGTCATATTTTCAATAGTAATGCCAAAAATTTCACAATTTCTGCCAGGGTATGCAAACTTTTGAGCACAACTGTGATCATTTGGTGTTTGTTTGGTCCACACTAAAATCCCCACTCGGGATGTAACCAAAGTGTTGCTAGATATTACTTTCCTCTTCTTCAGGGGTATGTGGGCTATAACATATCTGAAATAAGGTAAAAAACTTTTTTTAAGAGAGACACATAGCATATGTATCACAAAATGACATCAAACTCTCATCAAAATTACATCACATAAAACTGATATGAATTTGTTTAGTATTTTCAGCATTAGTTTTGTATATTTGGAATAGCATTAAAATTTTTCTTTAAAAAAACAGCAATTTTGAGGAGAACTCCATGCCAATTTTTTTTAAATGAAGTGCGGTCCCCCCAATAGCCACACCAGACCCTTATCCAAGTATGCAGCCCGGAAAGCCAGGAAAGGGGGGAATGAATGAGCGGCCCTCCCCCCCCCCCCCCTGAACCATACCAGGCCATATGCCCTCAACATGGGGGGGGGTGCTTTGGAGCAGGGGGGCTCCCCCCCAAAAGCATCTTGTCTCAATGTTGATGGGGACAAGGGACTCTACCCCACAACTGTAGGTGGTGGTTGTGAGGGTCTGTGGGAAGTTGGCTTACCAGTGTCTGGAAGCCCCCTTTAACAACAGGACCCCCAGATCCTGCCCCTCATGTGAATGAGTATGGGGTATTTAGTACTCCTACTCATTTATCAAAAAAAGTCTCAAAAATAAAAACACAAAAATAGTTTTTGACAATTTCTTTATTAAACAAACAAACAAAAAAAATCCACTGAATGCAGTGAATCCAGTGTATATCACAATGAACGCCGACTGCTGACCTGAAAAAAACAACAAAAATATAGGTGTGCACAGGATGCTTGCCTCTTGGTGACTGAGAGCTCTTGGTCCCTCTGACAATAAAGAAACAAAGAGTCAGGGTCACTGGAGACAAGTAAACCCGTCCCTTTGTTTATTTACCATTGCTAGGCACCTGCGGGCCGACAGCTCTGGTTCCCAGTGCCAATGGTAAATAAACAAAGGGGCAGGGTCACCTGTAATTGGTGAGACCCCCTTTGTTTATTTACCTTTGGAGGAATCAAAGCTCTCAGCTGCTGGGGGGCAAGCCCCACAAGCACAGCTTTTTTTGTTGTTGTTTTTTCAGGTCAATGGCTTGCATTCATCGTGATTCATGCTGGATTTACTTAGGGGCATTGTTTTTTTTTACAGTTTTTTTAATAAAGGAATTGTCATAAACTCTTGCAGCACTACCCCCTTAGGAGTTGCTAGAGTTTTGGGTCCCCCTGTAGTCCTGCACAGCCAGGCAACACGCATTTCCCTTCAGCCTTGCAGTCCAAAGTCAGTAAACAGTCCATGAACTTGTTTTTTTGGATTTTATTAGGGGATTGAAACTTGGGTGGGGATGGGGGTACATGGGCTGTCCAAGGAACTATAAAACTGAGGACAACTTCCTGGAACTATGTGCAAGTACTCAGAAGGGTTTTCTCTTCTTGAAGAGCTATCCATCCTCTCTTAGCGTACCCCCTCAGACCCCAGATGAAATCTCTTCACCCAACTGTCTGAGGGAATCTCTGGGCCAGGGGACCCAGAAACTGTCACCTTAAATGAAAGCAGTCTCAGATGGGGGCTAGTCAGGTTTCCCACCTGAACAGGATCCCCTAAGAGTGCAGACCAGACTCTCCTCACCCCTGCCCACTGAATTCCAGAGACTGCTCTAAGTCTCTAGATCACGGGGAAGTTCCAGATAGCTGATTTTCAGAGCCTCTCAACCCTGACCAAAATTTTACCTCACTGACTATTTCTCCCGGCTGCAATTCAGCCTCCTACTAAAAAGAATCAACTTGGCTCCCCCTAGCTACCTAGTTGGGTGCTACACTTTCTTTGTGTATTTATTTATTTTTGAGACTTTTTGTGGTGAATGATTAGGTGTACTATGTAGCTCATACTCATTCACATGGGGGGGATCTGTGGTCCCCTTGTTAAAGAGGACTTCCAGATGACGATAAGCCCCCTGATCGCAGACCCCCACAACAACTTTATTAATATGTGACAAATGGAAAAATGATTTGCCTCCATACTTATCAATATAGGAAAACAAACTCCCTTTTCTGATCGTTATATAGGTGACAAGTAGAGGACATATACAGCGGTTAGACAAAAAAAATGGAAACACTAAATGATTTGCAGGTGTGAAAGTGACGACATGTTTTGCATTGAAAGTGGTAGTGATGTAACATATTTTGCTTCCACTGTGTGATGAGACACCTAGCTCCTTCTGTTCCTCTTGCCAATAGCTTTGTCACCTGTTGGGAGGCATTGCCTCCCTAGACCTGCAAAGTCACCTGTGTTGCCGGTATTTCCCCTCAAATTTGATGCAAACACAGTCCCTGCATTTAAAGATGATGTATAGCCAAAGCTATTTTGGCAATGCCTTTCCTGAGGATCACAGGAGCACAGCTTGTTCTGCACTCCTGTGACCCATTTTCAGCCAACAGCAGGCTAAAGTATTATGCAACTTTTGCACTCCTGGCAAGCTTTGTACCCTCAATCTGACAGTAGGGACAAAATAAGTATCTCCAAACTAGTGACTCAGTTAGATCTAACCCAAAATGGCTTCTGCCACATGGAACACCTGACAGATTTTCAGGATATGCGATTCGGGGACCATCACGTGAAGGATATCCAGCTGCTTGCTGGGGATGCATGCCTGATGATAGAATATCTCATTCTGCCATTCCAACCATTCCAACCGGTCTCATTGCCTAAGGATGGCCCTAACAACGGGAAAACTTTGGACACTCTCGGGAGGTTGGTTTGTGCTTTTGGAAGAGGCAGTGCAGTACCTGCATCATGTCAGGGTATTTTTGTTGAATTTGTGCCCATTCCTCCTGACTGTAGAGATTGGCAGCCTTGGTCTGTGAATTTGAAACCAGTTCTTCAATGGTGCGTAAAGTGGTTGGCACAGGCAGAACAGGAGTGACCACTATATTTTTCCGGTTAAAATACACATTCTCCCCTGGGCATTGTCGGAACTGTTCTGGGCTCACAGAGTGAAACAGGAAGGCCTGAACTTATCATCTCTACATGGGCATGCTGGAAGCCATTTTGTTTTTTATATTCTATAAATATACAAGATTTCTGAA